TTTGAATTGAACACTGCATGTGCTAGTTTTGTTTGAAGGTAAACCTGTTCATTTGTTAAATACATGAAATCTCTAAAAGAGAATGAGTAGAACATATGATGTAGGTAACACGCTGGGTTAACTGGGATGAATTTTAAAGTGATACAGTATTTTTAGAGTGATACAGTATCATAAATTGAGAATGAATTTCCACACGTCCGGTTTCGGGGCTAAGATCTAGACCGGTAGTGTGACTTTCTTGGTCCCCCCGGGTTTTGTACCCTTTCATCGGAAGTTCCCAAGGGAGTTCGCAAAAGTTAATTTAATTATTATATTATTAGTGAAGTACGGGATGATACCGTAAGTTATGCAGAATAAACCTATGTAAAACAAGAGAAGAAGGCAACCAGCACGATTGTAACTGCTAAAAGTTCCTGCCTGGGGCAAGTATTTAGCACCTCATGCATAAGTGGGAAGTGGATCTTTGTAAGAAACTCATATTTACGCAATATAAAGGGTTTTTCATGGAATGCAAATATAGGACTCAGATGAAAGAGCTACGTTCCCACCTATTATTCTTGGAAAAACGACTTAGCTCCATTATCCTATCTTCAAATTCTATATAACAGCTTAAAACGGAGTCATGCGATCAGAAAAACGCTCGTCAATAGGTTAATAAAATGCTTTTGGCTTCTGCCCACTTTACCGCATACATCTCGCTTAAGACAATCAGGAATGTTTTATTTCTCTTCTGTGTGGTCGAACATTGAAGAGTACCGCATTGAAAGAAGACATTGAAATGTAGCGTATGAGGTTAGTTCAGAAGTAGTAATAGAAGTTTACGATTAATTATGATTGTTTTTAAAAAACCGCTAGAATCAATATCTACAGCTCAGTGCTCATCGTATCACATACTGTCGAGTGATCTTCTCGCGAATTTCGTTGTAAAAACATTGTTTCATTTGCTCGAAGCGATCATAACAGGGCACATAGGAATAGTCCAGCTTTGTTATCCTGAAAATAAGTCAAGTCGATGTAGAGTTTAATCTATTGAATAGGAAAGTGATTCGTACCTGTCTGGTCGTTGATCACAGAATGTGAGGCACTTGACGCCTGCGAGGGTTGTTGTAACTCCATTTCGTTGGCAGCACTGCAAGGATTTTTAGGAATGGAGGTCTTAAAGTTCTTCAATGACAAAAAGCACCCCTTTACAGCGCATCTTGTTTCATGAAATGTATCATTGTATTGTACCTTGATTGCTCTATTTGAGTTAAGGGATTCAGTCTTCTGAGATTGAATCAAAAGTAGAAAGCCGCATTTAAATTTTTTCACATTCGTTGTGAAAATCCCTATTTAAGTTTGTCTTCAGTATGAAGCTGGTATTAGAACCTGTTGCATTTGATATGTGGAAAATGTTCTAGGAATGAAGATATTTCCCCCTTTTTAAGGAAATTATATAATTATACAGACATATATTATGCTAAGTCGCTAACCGATAACAGAGTTGAGTTTGTCACTTTAATTTGTTAAGATACAGTTAGTATTCAAAGAGTCGAAAAGGGCAGGTTATGCAGAATGTGTTTTGTGCCTAATAAACGTACTATCATAGCCACGCACACCATATTT